CGAGATTTTACTTAGTCATTTCTCAAAGTTATATCCACACGACATTCGGGATTTGGTTACCGAAATCGCACTTCGGGATTTCGGGATTTTACTTACTCATTTTCAAAATCATATCCGCACGGCATTCAGGATTTCGCTACCGAAATCGCACTTCAGGATTTCGGGATTTTACTTAGTCTTTCGTGAGTCTTATCCGTACGACATTCGAGAGTTGGTTACTGAAACCACAATTCAGGATTTCAGAATTTCACTTAGTCTTTTTCGAAGTCCTATTCATACCACATTGAGGATTTCGTCACCGAAATCGCCCTTCGGGATATCGGGATTTTACTCAGTCGTTTTTCATGAGTCTTATCCGCACGGTGTTCGGGATTTTGTTACCGAAATTGCATTTCGGGATTAATACAATAGACTTGCGTGTGCAGAGCAATTGGCCATTGCGCCTTAAAAAAAAAAAAAAAAAAAAAGTCATTGCTTGTTTTTCTTCTTCTTGATGATTTGTATGGTTGTTCATAGCTTGAATTTTGTTTTTTTTTTCCCAAAATCATTTCATTTTCTTATTTTTTTATTTTTTTTTACCTCATTTCTTATTTTCATCATCGGCCATGAGCGCGAGTTTCTAAAACTAATTACGTAATCGATTCAGTAATAATTTGCCCAATGGTTTGAAGAGGCACGGAACCTCGAAGATCTCAAAAACGTACCATGCAAAATGGCAGGGGTTGATAAAGGTTATAAGGTAATGTATTTTTTTCGCTTCGTATATAGAAGGAATGCCATGCATCGCATGAGTGATATTTGGGGAGCATAAGTTTCTTTTTTGCAAAAGAAAAAAGTCACGATTGATTGATTGACTTCTCAATCAAATTTGTTTTTTTTTTTTTAGCTGATATGTGTACAACAGAACGTTCTCAGGTTTTTTTCTCTCGTCTGCTAGGAAGATATCCCGAACGCCCGGGCATCCAACTTGTGCAAGGATACACGGCCGAGTGCTCGGCCGGCCATGACCACCGGGCATGGTTCCAAGCGGAATCAACAATACTTTTTCATGAAAACATTAAAAAAATCAGAAAAGTTTCCAAAAAAAACTGCGTTGTGTAGAATTCCAATACAAACAGCTTTTGGCTGAGGGTCACATGAGAATCCTCACGTAAATAGATATAAAAAACATTAAAAAAATCGAAATAACGGTATTACACTTATGCAATCCTCTTCAACCCGTTTAACCCCTTTAAAACCAATTTCAACACCCCTTCCGAATTCGGATTTTGGCTCCTCTCAGAGAGCGCAGAAAGCCCCCACTGCAAAAAAAAAAAAAAAAAAAAAAAGGTAGTTTTTCCCATGCCCGGATTTCCGGTGTCAGACCCCCCCATTGTCATTGATTGGTGACCGGATGGTCGGGGCCCCCAAAAATCCTATCCAACAATTACTCTGGACTAACATCCCATACAGTTTTAATCATGCTGAGAACATCTGGTACGAATTGGTCAGGAAAGCCACACTTTGGATCATCCGGAAAGAGAGATGCAGCAGAACCATCCAAGGGGTGGTCACAACAAGAGAGGTCTGGGAAGAAACCAGAACCCTGATTGGAGCGGAAATCCGATGCAGATGGAGTAAGACAAAGCAAAGACTACCAGAGGATGAAAAACTCATTCTTTAAAGGCAACAATCGCTTGCTGCTTAGAATCCTGATTCATAGCAGTTGTCAGCTAGGCTACCAGCCGGGCCGCCCGGGTCCCGGGTGGCCAGCCCGTGCCAGGACCAGGGCAGATCCCAGCAAAAAAAATAAAAAAATAAAAAATAAATAAATAAATAAATAAAAACGAAAAACAACTATGTTATGCAGAAAAATAAACTGAACAACTTTTGCATCAGGGTCACTTCGAAATTCTTTACCAAACTTAAAATAAAATTAAAATTTTAAAAATATTATTTATATTTTTATTATTTTTAATTTTTTGGGCCCGGTCGGGCAAGTAACCCCGGGCCACTCTGGAAGCCTAGGTTTTCAGTTTTTGCCTTAGCCTTTTGTTGGCCTTTGTCAGATTCGTTCAAATGATGTATGCCTTGAGCCATCAGTGACAACTATTCTTGGGGTGACCAGGAGAAATGTTAAAGACTTTTTAATGATTTATGGACGCGATTGCAGCCAGATGATTCCAGTTCTCGCTGTAATTGGATTCAGATGCATTTTGGAAAGTGCTAGTGTGAGTATCCCCTGAGAGCGGGAAGGGCACCCACGAGCATGAAAATAAAAAAGAAAATCATTATTGATTTGTTTTCCAAAAAAAACACATATGAAGGTTTAAAGCTTTTTCAACCACTGAGAATCAGAAAATCCCAAATTTGTGCCACCCTGAGGCCCCACCACCCTCATCCAACCCCACTCCCCACAAAGTGCCAAAAAAATAAACAGCGGATTTCAACAGTACTCGGTAGACACATAAATACCCCACCAGTCGCTTTAAAAAAAAAAAAATTAGAATTTTAGAACCATCGAGTTCCAATCACAAACAGCTACGACCATAAGCAAACAAAAAGCAGCTATGGTCGCAAGCCACACATGTAGTGCTCTCTCTCTCTCTCTCTCTCTCTCTCTCTCTCTCTCTCTCTCTCTCTCTCTCTCTCTTTACTTCGATTGCTGTCTACTTTAGGATTGCTTGCACACCCTCTTTGAATGCACTTGCTACTCTTCCTCTCTCAGTGTCTCTCTCTACCCTGACAATCATCTGCCTGGTCACATGGCAGTTTCGGTGAAAATTCGCCGTAAATAACACCTGTCTCTTATACACATCTAGATGTGTATAAGAGACAGGTCTCTCTCTCTACCCTGACAATCATCTGCCTGGTCACATGGCAGTTTCGGTGAAAATTCGCCGTAAATAACACCAGCTATTAACCACAAGTGACGTCTGGAGACTGACTTCCTTAGTATAATCGTCTTCGTTTGTACTGAAGAGTCTGATTTTGTATCTTATCGTTGTCGGTGATGGTCCTCTTGTCATGATCAATCTGGCAAATGACCATAAGAATGAAGTTAAACCGCACTTTGTTCATGTACCTGCACGAGTGACACCATACAGTAGAGGTGGAAATCCAAATTAGTAGGCCTGATTTTTTTTTATATAAGACTTTTTTTTTAATAATGCAGACGGATTTTTTAGAGTTATGATTAAACCACTATATTACTCCAGTAGTGAACTAGATGACAGAGAAGAAGCGGCAATCTGAGCCAAAAACGAACATATGGAGCACATAACTGGCAAACACTATGTGTTGATCCACTCACACTATATTTCTCAGTGTCCTTGCTCCCTTACAGGACGAAGGTCTACCAACCTCAATTTGAAATAAAAATTAAGAATTGTTTTATTTTTTAAAGCAGCTTTGCAGAAAGACAATACTAACTTAGTGGTAATAGCATAAGAAAAAGTATAAAAAAGACAAATCAACCCGTGGTAGAAGAACGGCCGAGCAAGCGGAGGTGGCAGGGAGGAGGAGGATGGGCACAAAAAAAAAGACGAAGGAGATCACTCGAAGTGCTCATACAAGCTCAGATGGACATGTAGGCTAAAAAAGATTCGAAAAGGATTCAAAACAGGTCCAAAACTAGCTCTAACTATCTAGTAACAGTCACAAACTGACCAACAAACTTAACAAAGACTGAAAGAAATCCAAATAGACTGAGAATCGAACATTGACAACAACAGGAGAATACGAAAAAGAAAAAGGCACTTTGAACAAAAAGAAAACGAAAAGAATAAATGAAAAAGAAACAAAAGTCACATAAAAAAAAAAAAAAAAAAAAAAAAAACGACACCGCCCCCCTGTTCACCGGCCCGCAAACCAAGATATTCCATAGGATCGACGCTCCTCCTGCATCGTCCATACATTTGTCCTCAAGACCTTCCCCGCTACAATGTAACATTCTGGTAAAAAAACTCTCAGACTCATCCCCGCCCGTGGATCGAGCCGAGTGGACCACCGCAGTGCATTTTTGGACCCCGCCACTGGAGCGCAGCGAGAGTGGGCCTCCCCCTCACGGCCAATGCAAATTAAGGGGTAGGATATCTTTCAAAAGAGAATTTGCTTACCTCAATGAAGTCTTATATCCTGCAAACCACTTGAACCTTTGCTCACAAACTGACATGTTTGCAGAGTTGAGCTCATCATATACCTCAGGATTAACGTTGTTGTTGCACCAATGACCAACATGATTCTTTTGAAAGTGAAAAAAGTCAACTGCATTAGCGGAGGAGGACAAATTGAAAAAGAAAACGAAATTAGATTCTAAGTTGTTGGCGCAGGCGTCGAAGACCCAACTTGGGTCCGGATATATGTCTGTGTTTCTGGGCGGGCACAAAGTAGGGCAGGCTTTTGAACGCAGTGAACCATGCCAACTTTATCAGCAAATCGCACGTTGTATTACACTGAAGTCATTCTGAATACTTGGACACAAGCAACAAGATGACAATCAGCCCAAATCGAAGGGGATTATATCCCAAAACAATTGAATTATACTAGTTTCATGTTACAAGGCTATTGCCACCAACAACAGAATCAAACAAGCATCTCAGCATACCAAAAACCATATAATTGGGTCGCCAAGTTTAAAACAGAAAGGTGTTTTTTCCCCATTGTGCTCCCTTCATTGACTCCCAACATGGAGAAGGGGAAGTCACAACGACCGAAGCCAACTTAGAACTTCACTTCCCAAGGGATCCGCCACTGCTACTCATGGGGCCAACAGTCCCTTGAGAAAAAGTTTGATGAAGCAAGCTGCAACGGATTTAGTCCATAGCAAGTGAACTCAGCATTCGAGCACTAAAAAAACAAATGCTCTTGATAGAAAAACTAATCGAGAGCATTTGCTTTTTGAGTGCTCGAATGTTGAGTTTACTTGTTATGGATTGAATCCGCGGCAGCTTGCTACATCGAACTTTTTCTACCTACCCTACCAGCCGGGCGGCCCGGGTCCCGAGTGACCAGCCTGTGCAAGGCCCAGGGAAGGTCCCAACAAAAAAAAGAATAAAATAAAAAAATCGAAAAAATCCAAAAAAAAACTACGTTATGCAGAAAAATAAACTGAACATTTTTTGCCTTAGGGTTACATCGAAATTATTTACCAATTTTAAAATAAAAAATAAAATTAAAAAATATATATATATTTATTTTTTTTTGGCCCGGTCGGGCAAGTGACCCCGGCCACTCGGGTAGCCTAGTATGTATATATATAATACATATATATAATAGATATTATATATATCGTCAAATAGAACTGCCCGGTAAACCGTAGGCAGAGAGGGAGAAGAGGACAACAAACGAGGGGCTGTGACAAACTGTTTCGTCGGAGTTTCACCGACTCATCAGGAGGCTGAACCCTCAACAGTC